TACATGTTGTCTGCTATTGAATATTCAGGCCACATACTTATAACTCAGTCTTGTTGGAGGACCCTCTTTTTTGTGGTTGCTGAAAGTGTAGCCTGTTTTCCCTCAAACTATGACTATTAGGGGCCAAAATTTTGTTTCTTTGAGGTAGTGGGACTGCTCAGGGGCTGAAGTGACTGGCTCAGGCATGGCATCATTAAGTTGGAGCATGAGAGCATTCTGAATCGCCGTTTTTAGTTATGCTCCTTGCTGAGTGTGCGTATTTGCTTCCCTCTCAATTTTCAGCCTAGAATATAGCGGCAAGAGTTTTATCCCTGAAGATCTCTTAGCTACTATCAAGGAAAGGCTGCTGAGGTCTCCTTCCAGCATTCATTTAGGCTTATCTGTTTGAGGCTTCTCCATGGTCACTACCTGGATTAGGTGGTTTGTGTGATGAGAGGAGTGTGTGGGTAACTGCCTTACTCAATACCAAGATGAGCTGAAGAGTTGAGTGTTGTGAGTGGGGTGGTACAAGGATGGAAGCAGCAGCAGCAAAGTCATTTCCCTCCCTTCAGTGCATTGGTCTTTTCCAGTATACTGCCATGTGGTCCATAGGGATACTCACTGAGTGGGGGTATGTCTAGACTTGGCAATAAGGCCAAGTCCTTGTACAGCATGTTTTTCCTACTCTCTACTTCCTGGGATACCTGATCTCTGCTTTATAAGGCTTGTAGGAAGTCCTTGATAAAGTTCATTTTAAATAAATGACCAGTCTTTGGTTAGTGACCAGTGTTGTGTGCTTTCCACAGCCTCCTCATGCTTCCATTTCCACTGGTAATTAGTAAGACATCTCTAGGTCTCTAGACTGCTCTCTTGTCTCTTAGACTTCATCTTGTTGCATGTGTTTCCCTATACCTTTTCTTATTTGTAAAATGCCCAATCAGCTCTGAGTTCCTAGATGTTAGAATCTGTAGCGGTGAGATGTATGTTTCTCTCAGGTCTGTGGTTTGGGACTCCAACTTTGGTAGGATAGCCTTGCTTAGTGTGTCTTGGACGTGGTTTTTAGTGTCAGCATAGAACCAGCAATGCTGTGATGGAGTGAAACATGGGGTAGCAGTGAAGAAGAATTGTCTTTTAAATCTATTAGAAGTAATGTTGATATAATGGACTTGAGTTTAGAAGACTTGTGTTTTGAGTTCCTACTGAACCATTTGTGACTTGGGTCTCAGTTTCCTTGTCCATTAAAATGAATTGGAGTAGATGATCTCCAAGGTCTTCTCCCATTTCTATCATTATTTAGTAAGTTGAAATTCATTCCTTACCAAATGTGTATATCAAACTCCATTGTGACAGTAACAAGAATTGCACTTTGGTGTCCGCCATTTCAGTGAAAACCTTTTCTACATTTCCTGTTAGCTGTGCTTTATACCAATTGTGAAGGTGAGTTGTGAAACTGTGTTGGGGGGGCGGGGGATGAGGTGCAGAAATTCCTCATCTGAGAAAGGTGATATAAGGAAAGGGGGCAGTGCAGCCAGGCCAGTGTTGAGGTGGTGATAAGATCATCTGTTGTGTGCTGGGAAGGGGAGATAACTTGTCTCAGGTTAAGTAGTGGTTATACATAGATTGTAGCAGGGTTGAAGTGTGGGTGGGGTCTGCAGTCAAAAAAGGATTGCCTTTACCTTTACTCATTAACAGAGCTTAGACTGGTCTAGCCAAGTCTAGTTAGTGTGGCCTCTGGTATTAGCTGATAATAGCATATTTAACCTGTTCCCAGGTCATCCACGGTGAGGTTCTATTGTCATTCACTTGAATTAGGTTCATATGGCTCTTTAAAGTTCGTGGGATCAGAAACAGGGACCTGGGACAGAGCAGATCTCCTGGTCCTCTGTGGTCTGTACTTTAGAATCCTTAGACTGAGCCAAGGGCCTAGGTGACAGTCATTTGGGTGGAGGTCTATATGTACTTTTTGGGGTAGATGCTCATAGGACATAGGCCTCATTAGCATTTTAGAATTGTCTTCAAGCCTTGGGCATCTGTGACCATCTTAAATGTTAACATTGCTAATCTACTTTTCTGATTCAAGACTTAATCCTCTGATCATGGGATTAGAGATAAATTATAGTGTACATGATATTTGTCCTTGTTTGAGGAGATAGCCCAGCTTGTTTAGGGGGTAGGCTCTGTATGACTTTACTTGGGAAAGTATTCGCAAAGAAGAAAAAATATTAGGCTCAACATTGTTACTCGGTACTTAACTGAAAAGACTGAAAGAAAACTGGTGGGTGCATTATTTTTGGAAATTTTCCTAAAGTCTGCCTTTAATCTAGAAATCAAATTAACAGCTTGATTCTACAGGTTGCCACAAGAAGTCATAAACACATTCCCTAATGTCCCTCTGGTATTTCTGACTTGTCTATGCTGCTAGGTTTTTCTGCTTATTCCCCGTACTAACCACTTCTGCTTTTGTACAAATCTAGAAGTAATATATGATACACTCAATTTCTGATTTAAAGAAAATGGGCATAATTGGTAAGCAGCTGTACTAAGCAGTCAGATATATTTCAAATTTGCTGGCATAAAAGCAGGAAGCCATTGGTGCATGGTTAGTTACATAGCAGTGACAGCAGTGGACTACCCAGAGTTCATATCAACCAAGTTTTTTCCTGTATTACTGCAAATTATCTCCCCCAGCTGGACCCAAGCCAGTACTGCTATTTCCCTCATATATTCTCTGGGAAAGATCTTTTTAAATCGAGCCTTCCTTCTGTCATGTTGGGCATATGTTTCCTATTTATACCCTGGGGGATGCCCCTACTTTCCCCCTGCCTTACAACGATCTGCAACTGAAATGAAATAAGAGATTCTGGAAAGAAAGGCAAGATTAGAATTATACTTTTTTTCCATTCAATGCATAATCCATACTATCTCCCTTTTCTGTCAGGTCAGACTTTATAGCTAAAAAATGCTAACCAGATTAGTATTTTCAAATCATTAAGATGTGGAATGTGCAAGGTTTTTCTAATCTTTTCTTTGAAAAAAAATTATAATCTTTCTGATTTTAATAGCCTCAATTTAGATACTTTATAAGTGGACAGCTTAGTGTCCCATTTCTTCTTGTTCAAGGGCACAGGACAGAGATGTTTGGCTGAGACTATTTTAGATGACAATAATTCTGGGGCAGCATGTTAAATATCACCATCTTTTACATTAAATTGATGGGGATTGCTGCCTTGTGTCTGTTCATGATCAGGTGTAAAAAATTTGTGGGACTGGCAACCTTTTTTTCCATATTGAATTCCAAGAGCATTAAGTGCTTACTGCAATCGTATTGGAAGAAAAGCAAGGATTGTTCGATGATGGGGCTTTTTGGCTCATTATTTTGGAGGGAGAGGAGAGGCAGCTCCTCTTGATGGTAAACATTAAGTGATTTGTGTAGCTGCCCACGAAGATGTTATGTCCAGTCAGGTTCAAGCTTCATAGTTATGCAGATGGTCAGAATAAGACAACTCTCAAACAGCAGTTGCTTTTATGTGATAAGGCTGTTTGATAGGAGTGCAGGATGCATCAGCCATCAGCATGGACTTTGAGGAGGGGATAGGAGCTAGGAATGGGGACGAATCAACTCAGATGAAAGAATGTCTAGTCCCTGAGGCCCATTTGTTGAATAGTAAATGTGAAGGATTAGAAAAGAAGGACAAACTGGTTTGGCAAGAGTCTAGTGATTAGGGTTTCTCATGTGGAAGGGAAACAGGTCTATATACTCCCACGGTATCTCCTGTGACTTCCTTGACTTCTTGTCTGTGCTTGGGGTTCTGTAAAACTATCCTTAACACTATCCTGGGCTTTAACCTAATGTTAAAATTGCAAGGTCTTTATTTTCCTTCTGATTTTAATACCCTGATGTAAGTGGACCTCCATTGGCACCTTTGTTTAGTGCATAGGGCAAAGATCTATGTCTGGGGCTATTTTAGGATGTTACTATAACCCAGGTGAAGCATGCTATCATCCATCATATGGTGGTGAATAGGAGACACAGTCTGGACAAAAGTATGTTTTGGGAGTTGATGTGAAATCCTGGACCCAGAATTGGCTCCAGGTTTCGGGGCTGGAATGATTCGTGAACTTTGTCACTGATGGCTGAATCTGGAAGTGTTAAGAAATAGGGAGAAGCCTAAGGGTGTGATTCCAAAACATGTTACGTCTACATATCTCATTTAATCACAAGGACCCCGAAATCTCCATTTCATAGATGGGAAACCAAAGCCCAAGTGGCACAGCCAGAAAGAGAACCCAGTTTTCCCAGCCTCCTATCCTGTATCTGGGGGCTTGAACTCGGTCCCCCTCTCTCAGGTTTCTTCCTGTCGCCAGGGATGTTTTCAAGGTTGTTAATTTAGAGGCAGCTCGGGGCATACCATAATGTACTATACGGATGTTAGTTTATTATTAATAATAATTTGATGCCATATCATCCACCAGGTGCCCTGTTCTCTAGCTCCATGTTTCAGGAGGAGGGTCTGCCTGTCTGGAATCGGCCGCAGCACTCTGGCAGAGACAGCATGGTCCGCTGGGTCTCTCCCCAGACCCAAGGACGAGTTCTCAGGGGACAAGGACCCATTACCCCCTCCACTTTGCCCTCATGAATTCCCGCCATCCCTATGCCTCTTCTACAACCCTTCCCGCACCTCTTGGAAAAAAAAAGTCATCTGGAACCACGCGTCTATAGCAAGCTACCAGGACTCCAAGATAACCGCTCACCCTTCCGCCCCCACCCCTTCCAGTAATCCCTGCCCCGCGCCAGCCCCGAACGTGCGTACGCACGCACCGCCCAAAACGTACACGTGGTCCCGCGCCAGGTTTGAACCCTGGTATATTAACCCTAAGGCCAGGCACGCGCAGGGAGACAGATAGGACCGCCCCCGATCAAGGAAGTCCAGCTTCCGATACCCCGGAAGTAGTCGCTGAAGAAGCCAGCCTCCAGGCGTGGAGACGGCTGTGAGGGGCACCAACGTGGGGCTGGTGTTGTAGGAGGGACTGGGTCCCTGTGGAGTAAGGTCTTTCTGCATTCGGCAAGGGCCCCCACCGACGCAGCCTTTCTGGCCCCTGGAACAGTGTTTGAGTGTCAGCCCACGGCCGAGCCCCGCCCTTCTGGTTCTAGTTCTGCGCCATCTCGTCCCGCCCCCTCCGATTCTAGCCCCGCCCAATCACGTTCTCGCTTTTCCTGCGCCACGTCCGGTCTTTTTCTGGCCAGTGTTGTTAGCCGGCGGGCCCTCCCTTCTGGCTCCACTTTCGCTCGTGGTTTTCATGCCCTACCGCATGGCCTCCCAGGACGCGGATTCCCAGACAGCCTACTTCCAGGCTCTCCTCCGGGAGGATGTGCCACCTGTTGAGACCGTTGGGGTGATTGACACGGAGTACAGCGCGGACACCGTGGAGTGGTGCCCGCTGGAGGGCATGAGTGACCTGCTGGTCTGCGGCACCTACCAGCTGCAGGCACTGGAGTCCGAATCCGACATGTCCGCCGCCCTCCCAGAGGCGGAGCCCGAAGCTAATAAGCTGGGGAGCCAGGTAGGGGGTCTGCTGGGTCTGCTCTGGGGAGGTGGTCAATCCTACCGCCCCCACCTTGATGCCTCTGTGCTCTTAAGTGATCGCCCCCGGCTCCCGACTTCTGGGACATCAAGGACTGGTGACTGGTTAGAGGATAACAGCCCAAAGGTTTACTGTGTATAATCATTTCTGCGAGTAAAGAAATTCGAGTCCCAGAACAGGATAGCTGAACTGATTAAAGTAGGATTAAAATCCTCACTTTGAGGACAGAAAAGCTTTAAATCTTTATGGGCCAGTAGGGATAAGAGCCAAGAGGCTGAGTTATGTCAAATCATAAAGGGGATGGAGAGGAGATAAATAGATTTATTAACAATAAATTAGCATTTATGTAGGCTTATATATGTTAACTCATTTGATCCCCTCCACAACCTTGGAGATAAGTGCTCTTGTTATCTCCACTTTACAAATGAGGAAACTGAGGCAAGCTGAGGTTAAGTGGCTTGCTCAGTGTCACATAGCTAGTAAGTGCCTAAAGCAAGATTTGTACTCAAGTCTATCCTCACTTTAATTCACATGCCCAGTCCACTGTGCTACCTGCGTCAGAAACTAAGGACATGTCTTGAAAATTCAAAGTAGTAAAGTTTCAAAAATTTGCTAATTTAATACAAGATTAAAATATAAAGAGCATAAAGTGGTCTCATTAAGTCCATGAATGGCAGTTTAATTTGAAGGAAAGCTAGACTTTTGGGGGGTATATGTGCCTAACCTTTTGAGATTGAAGTGAAAAAGAACAATCATACTCTTAGGATTCATCTTTTTGTGACTGCAAGACAGAATCCTTCGTTGGCTGGGCCATAGGTCTAATCCAATATGGACATTCTTATGTTCCTAACTGTATGCATAGGCCAAAACTCCTTGTCTTGAGAGGTAGGTTGTGTGGTACAGTCGTTAAGGTATGGAATATTGGCTTCTTTTTTTTTTCCTCTATTTATTACCAACTTTCACTGTGATCCTGGAAAATTAATTCTCTCTCTCTGTCTCTGTCTCTCCCTCCCTCTCCCTCCCTCCCTCCAGACCCTTCCTTTCTCCCTCCTTTCTTCCCTCCCTCTCTCCCTTTCTCCTTTTCTCTCTCTCCCCTCCTCTCCCATTTTCCCCAGTTGCAGTTGTGTCACATCTTTTAGGGATAAGTAAGAGAGTTTTTTCCTGTCTTTCTTGTAGGGTGGATCGAGCATCATTGAAGTTGTGGATGCTTATGTCCGTATGGGTCGTCTTTACCTGTATAGATTCAATAAGGATGCCACTGATTCCCCTCTTACTGAAATCCAGAGGAAAGACTGTGCTGCTATTCTGGATATGAAATGGTACATACAATTTGAAGGGGCCCAGAGTTGGTTTGGGGAACATCAGGAGTCATGCAACTCTAACTTCTTTCCTGCCCTCCAGTCTTGTTATCTTCAATTGCCTGTTGGACATCTTAAACTTGGCATTTCTCAAACTGAACTTCTCTTTCCTCCCAAACCTTTCCCCTTTTCTAACTTTCCTGTTACAGTTGAGGGCACTGCCATTCTCCCAGTTGCTCAGTCTTCCAATCTAGGTATCATCCTTGACTCCTCACTCTCTCACCCCGACTCCTCCAGTCTGTTGTGGTCTTATCAATTCTAACTTTGCAGTATCTTTCACATGTCCGCTTCCCTCCTCTGACATTGCCACCATTCTGATGCTGGTGCAGTCTTCTGACACCTTTCATCCCTTCTCCCTGCTCACTCTATAATCCAGTGACATCATTTTCTCTGACTTTCTCCATGCCTGGTGGCATGCTCTCCTTTCTCATCTGTCTCCTGCCATCCCTGGCTTCCTTCAAGTCTCAGCTAAAGTCCCTGCACGGAGTCCTTCCCAGCTCCCCTTAATGCTACTGCTTTCTTTCTATTGTTTATTTTCAGTTTATCCTGTCTATATTTTGTTTGTACATAGTTATTTGCATAGTTGTCTCCCTCATTAGACTATAAGCTCATTGAGAGCAGGGACTGCCTTTTGCCCTTCTTTGTTATCCCCAGTACTTAGCAAATTGCCTGGCATAGTGGAGGCATTTAATAAATGTTAGTTGACCGACTATATGGTACAGGCCCTTATCATCTCATGATTGCATTATCATAATAGCCTTTTGGTTGGTCTTCTTGCCTCTAGTCCCTCTCCGCTCCATACCTTCCTTTATTCAGCTATCAAAGTGATCCTCTCAGATCACATCCTCTTACCCTCCACTGCTTCCCCACTCAATCAACTCAGCTATCTTCTTACCTCTAGGAGCAAGAATAAAATTCTCTTTAGGGCTTTAAAACCCTTTATAACATGATCCTTTCCTTAACTTCCAATCTTATTCCACCTTACTCTCCTCCACATATTTATTGATGCAGTGATACTGGCCCTCCTTCCTGTTCCTCAAACGGAACACTCTCATCTCCTGACTCTCGGCATTTTCACTGGCTGTTCCCCCTTGTGTCTGGAATGTTCTCCGTCTTCCTCTCTACCTCTCGGATGCCCTAACTTCCTTCAAGTCTCAGCTGAAATCATATCTTATATGAGAAACTTCTCCTAATTCCCCTTTAATGCTAGTGCCTTCCCCATAAGATTATCTAAGATTATCAGTTCACCTTGTACATGTGTATAAATCTGTCACGTACATGGTTTTTTACATGTTGTCTTCTCCATTAGACTGGAGGCCAGGGACTCTTTCTGCGTTTCTAGCACAGTGTCTGATATGTTATAAGTGCTTAATAAAATGCTTGTTGACTGACACAATTACATTTCCTTTAAGGCAAGAGAAAGGTGGAATTCCTGTGAGCATTTAAAGGCATGGTAGGTGTGAAAGGGATACTCTAGCTAGTGCTATATTTTTCTCTATCCTGTGTATTCCAACCTCGTCCACTAGGTGGCACCCAAGAAGTATTTTATTCTCAAGTGTTTTTGCTTTACAAGTGACTATTTTTTCTTTCGCTTCTTGTTAAGAAAAATATACAGTTTCCCTGGGAGCTGAATCATAGGCACCAACCCAACTTTGGGCTTGTGTTTAAATGGGACACTCTGTACCATTTTCTGTTCATGCTTATACTTGCTTCCACCTTTTTAGTTCTGACTTAAGGTTGGTGTCTCCTCTCTCCCAAGGTGCTCCGTTCCAGTTGCTGGCCAGGCTGTCCTGGGATTTGTAGATGCTCAAGGATGCATAGAGTTGCTTAAGTTGATGGAATTAGAGGTCAGTCACTGGGAAAGCTATGCCTATGTGCTCTAAAGGCAAGTACTCTCTTTAAGTGCTTTGAGAAAATAAGGTGAAAACTATGTCTAAATAAGTTTACAAAAGGGAGTGGGTTAAAAAGTTTCTTTTTTTCAAGTATGAGGGCCTATTTTTAATATAAAATTTTTTCAGATCCCTCTCCCTTGATAATAGTTGTATTTTTTGTATCTGTTGACTGAGAACATAGTATCAAAGGAATATGTTTATAATTGGAAGGGACCTTAAGAGTTACCTAGTCTAACCTCATTTTACAAATGAGGTTAAACGATTTGGAATAGATAAGTAGCAGAGCTGGGATTCCAACCAAGGTCTTTACTCTTAAGTATTTTTTCCACTGCACCCCCAAAAACATAATGACAAAAGCGCTACTCTGAATTCAACCCCAGTTTCCAATGAGTTTGTATTTTATTAAGGACAATAGCTCCTGCATACAGTTGAGAATATAAAACTGTTCACATGAAACTGGTTATTCATGGTGGATATTTTGTTGGTGCTAAGTGAAGATAAAAATGACAATGCTTGCTATGCTTACAAAAGCAAAGCCCAGGGTACTGAAGCCCAACTGGGTAATTGGAGATACAAACCTTTATCCAGAGAGAAGTGTCAGGGGTATCTATATATTTATATTTTGGAGTCATCCTCATAGAGTTGATGGTTGAACACCTATGAGTATATGAAATCACATAGAGAGGGTAAAGAGAAATATAAAATTGAGGGCTTTATACTTTACAGTCTCCAAGATCTCTACCAACTTTAAGTCCTATGATTTTGTAATTGAGAAGGAGCAATAAGAGAGACAAGAATAGAATCCCAGGAAACCCAAATCAACAAACATTTTTTAAAGTTTCTGCTATGTGCAAGGCACTATGTTTTGATACGGGAGATACAAAGACAAAACAAAGAAAACAGCCCCTGCCTTCAAAGAGCTTACATTCTAGTGGGAAGAAACATTAAATATATCAGGCGTATGTAAACCAACATGTAAATATAGCAGGGATTCTTGACACAGCATCTGTGAACTTGGTTTTTTAATAGTTGATAACTTTATTTTAATATCACTGTTTTCCTGTTTAATCCTTTGTATTTTATGCATTTTAAAATGTTTTTCTGAGAAAGCCTTCACCAGACTACAGGATTCCAAGACACAGAGATTAAGAACCCTTAACATACGTGGTCCTTTTTGACAGAGCACTAACAACTAAGGGAAGCCAAAAAAGCTTCTAGTAGGAAATGGCCCATGAGCTGAGCCTTGAAGGAAGCTAGAGGTCATAGAAGTGGAGGTTAGGAGAGTGTGCATCTTGAGCATGGGGGAGATTGAGCTTGTGGAAAAGCCCTGACACAGAAGATGGAAGGCCATGTTTGGGGAAAATCAAGTAGACTTGTTTTAGTGGGACATAAAGAGAAGGAAGAGGTGGAGTTGTGCACATTAAGCATGGAAAGATAAATTGGAGACAGATTGTGAAGGACTTTAAATGCAAAGCTGAGGAACTTGTATTTTATCCTAGAGGCATTAGGCAGCCTCTGAAGTGTTTTGAGCAGTGGAATGACGTGGTCTGTGCTTCAGAAAGATTATTTTGATAACCATGTAGAGGAGAGAGGAGAGACTGGAAACTGGAGTCAAATAGAAGGCTGTTGGGATAGTCTGGGTAAAAGATGATAAAATCTATGAAAGTGTGCTCCTTATGAACAGGAAAGGAAGAGGTTGAGAGCTGTTGTGAGGGTAGAGTTGATAAGACTTGACAACTGATTGGATATGTGGGGTAGGGTGTTTAATATTCAAGGCTTGTTGAATTGAATTGTGGAAGAGAGAATAGAGGGCTGCTTTCCTGATCTCCCTTAATGCTGGTGTGATCCCCCTGAGATCATTTCCTATTTATCTGTCTGTATCTTGTTTCTACATAGCCATTTACCTGTTGTCTCCCCCATTAGATCATGACTCCTTGAGAGCATGAGCTATTTTTTGCCCTTTTTTGTATTCTCGGTGCTTGGCAAAGTGCCTAGCATATAGCAGGTTCTGAATAAATGCTGCTTGACTGCCTGACCAAGATTGCAAACCTGAATGTTTGGAAGGATGGTTATACCCTTAAAAGAAACAAGGAAATTTGAAGGAGGAGAGTATTTTGTGAGGGAGATGGAAACGTATTGAGTTTGGGATGGGATCTGATGAGATTATAAGGAAAGGGAGATGGAGAGAGGGAAAAGAAAAGAGCCTAGAGCCTTGGGGAAGACCTAGGGTTAGAAAAAGGAAAATATGGTGAGGTGGAAGTCAGCGAATACAGTATCATGGAGGAATGGGTTGTCAGCACTGTGAAATGCTGCAGAGAAGGTTGAAGAAGATGAGGACTGAGAACCAGCCATTGGATGTACATTTAGGAAGTCTTTGGTGACTTTTCAGTAACAGTTTCAAAGAGTAATGAGAATGGAAACCAGATTACATGATTGCATGTTGAGGAAGTGGAAGTTGCACTTGTCCAAGAAGTTTTGTCTCTTATTCACTTTTGGGGGAAAAGTCTATGATTGAACCATACTAAATCAGAATTTTTGTTAATTGAGGGTTGCTTAGGCCAAAGGTTCCCTCTTTGATGGGTGGGTGGAGTTTACTAAATAAATTTGTAGAATAAACAAGGGAAACTTTAGTTTAGTAAAAGTGGGTTAACAAACTTCAGATATTACTTTAGCAGCATTTGCTTTTAAATTATGAATATGGTCATTGTAAGCAGTTCTTTTCCACTCATTAATGCCTCATCTTGATGTAGAGGTGACTGTTCTGCAAAGCTGTACCAGTGGAGCTCCAGCGCTGGTGGGCCCTCCCTCATTGACCTGGTGAGGGGCTGCATCTTCTCCTCTTGGAATCCCAATGTCTTTCAAGACTCAATGAAGAGTCACTTCCTATTAGAAGTCTTTCCTAATTCTCCTAGTTGTTAGTGCTCCTTTCCCCTGAATTAATTTGTGTTTACTTTGTATGTATTTTGAATTTATCCATTTATATATTGTATCTCCCTAGTGGTAATGGTTCCCAGTCTTGTTGAGGATGAGTCCCTTGTATTATGTAAACCTCAGCAGCTAGCACAATGCTGGGCACATAGTGAGCTCTTAAGAAGTGGTTATTGAATTGAATTAGTGAATTGTATGCCTGCCGTCACAGGGCCAGCTTCGCTAAGTTTAGAGAGGGTCATTACCAGAATGTTGGCCATCAGCTTACTAATTTCTTTGGTCAAAACAACTTATGAAGATAGTCTGCACAAGCATGGAGGGGTTGCATTCTACATCAATGGAATATCAGATCCTTGAAGTTTTGAAGTGAGTGTTTACAGCCTGGGTGTAGTACAGGCGTTCTTAACCTAGGGTCCATGGACTCCTAGGGAGTAGTTGGATGGATTTCAAGAGTCTGTGAACTTGAATGGGAAAAAAAAAGTTACACCTTTATTTGTACCAAACTTTAGCTGAAATTTAACATTTCCTTCAATTATGAATGTAGACTACAATACTCTATTTTGAGGAGGAGTCCATAGACTTCACCAGACTGGCAATGAAATCCACGCCATAAAAAGGTGAAGAACCCCTGGTATATTGGAAGGAGCCTTGGACTTAGAGTTAGGAAAGACCTTGGTTCTTTCTTTCCAGTTCAGTTGTATACATTGGTCCTTTTCCCTTAGTCCTGAGACTGAGCCAAGCTGGCCTTCTCTCTCTCTTTCTCACACTTGGCATTCCATTTACCTTTACCCTGGCCTTCTTCCAGTTCTGGAACGCACTTATTTTCTCCTCACTTTTGTCTCATAGAATCCCTTACTTTCTTCAAAGTATGACCTTCATAAAAGCAGCTCAAGTATCACTTCCAAACAAACTGGAAGTTTTCCTGATCTCTCCATCTTCCAGTATTCTTCCTTCATAAGTACCTTGTCTTTATTTTGCATTTGTTCTGTATTTACTTATGTATGTATCTTTTGTCTCCTTGGATAGAATGTACACTGTGAGAGAAATAGGGGTTGTTTCATTTTTTTATAATTTGTACTTCCAGGACTTCGTATAATGCCTATTAAGCACATTGTAGGTGCTCAATAAATGCCTGATTGATTCTTGCCTTTCATACACTTATTAGCTGTGTGATTCAAGTCGTTCTTTCTAAGCCTTTTTGTCTCATATGTAAAATGGATATTATAATAGTACTTAATTCAGAGTTGTTGCGATCAGCATGTAATGTTTTAAAGTTCTTTGTAAATTTTAAGCACAACATAAATATTATCTATTATATTAAAACAAATGTTTCTAGGACAATCTTTGATCCATTTGTCTTCTATTCTTGTCAGCCCAAACCAGCAAGTATTCCTTGAACTTCTTGCACCTATTCAGGATGTTGTAGATCATTTATTCCAATCCCCTCATTTTGTATGTGAGAAACCAAGGCTCAGAGAGGTTAATGTATGACTTTGCCCATGGTCATATAGGTAGTAAATGGCAGAGCTGGGGTTTGAACCCAGGTAGTCTCTCCAAATCTTATGTTCTTTCGACTATGCCAAGGTATTTTAAACTGCATTTCTTTAAGAAAGTTATCTATGACTGTATATTTTACAAGATCGATATTGGTTTGATATTTTCTCCCACTATTCATGTCAAACTTGGGTAAATTAATAAGTTTTTATTGTATTGGGCAGCACTTTAATCATCTTTGAGTAGTCGTGGGAAGAGAAGCTCTTATTATAATACTTTAGGGTATGTTGACTTCCATGCTGGTGGTGGCAGTGGTGAAGATGTCTGTGGTGCCTCCTTTGTTGGGACTGGCCTGGTCTTGTTTTGTCATAGTGACAAAGATCACGTTGATAGAGATCACTGTGACTGAAAAAGGGCCCTCAGAGACAGAGGGCAGCTATTCTTTCTCTTGAGATATCATGCAGGGGTGAAGACTTGTGGAGATTTCTGACTGTCAGTGTTTAGCTTCTTAGATCATTGGAGGATTTGCTTACCTAGATTAAGAGGGAAGAGCACTTTGGGATTGTGGGATTATTCAGAGCTCATGCTTCCCCTTGATAGATTCTTTTTTTGCCTCTAGTAGAAGAACCATTACACATTACAGCCACTTCTTAAGAAAGACCTGGGGGAACATCGTATTGCATTGTCTCTGGACTGGTCAGTGGGACAAGCCATGAGGTAAATTGCTGGGATCCATTGTTGCTCCTTTCACGGCCAGTTCTTATTCTCAAATAACTGAATGCCAAAGCTGTTTTACTGTGTTTGCCATTGTTTTTGATCTCATAGATCTTAGATTATGACATCATTGCTATTTAAATAGATGACAGTGATGATGATCTTTTATCTGGAAAAACTGATATTTATTGCTTTTTGTAATCTCAAGTGGAAACTGAGGTCTTCCCCAAATACTGAAGTCGGCCTCAGCTAGCTGAGGCCTATTCTTTGTAGAGAGGTAAAATTAGTGTATAGTACTTTTAAAGATGATTGTATTTTAGGGTTGGGACTTCTGCCATGATACTTACGGTATCCTACACTTGAGATGGAAAGGGGATGGTGGGTTCAAATCAGCAAATAGACTTTAACTCACTTTTCTTATTGACTTTACATCTCTAGGGCCACTGGTCAGCCCTTAAGAATAATTAGCAGTGATTCGAAGGGGCACCTCCACTTCCTTGCTGTGGATGAATCAGAATCTTCAATACATAATCTGTCAGATTGGAAGGCTCATGACTTTGAAGCCTGGATTGCTGCCTTTGATTACTGGCAAACAGACATAGTCTATTCAGGTCAGAATTTGGTAAAGGCCATCACTTCCCTTAACATCAAATTGTCAAGCATTTTAGGGAAACACACTGGCAGTTTTGACCACATGACTATGGATACAACATTGGATTATTTGGGTTGCACTTGGTTAATCAACTTTTGTTTATAGTTTACGTTCCTAAAGAGAAGTGGAGTGAAGGGAGGAGGAAGAATATAAGGGAAAAAAGAGAAAAAATCATGGTCTTTTTTCTAGTGTTCCATGGAAAACTTAAGTCTGTAGGTGAGGGTTGTAATCAGAACTGTTCTTTGGGATTAGTCAGCCCTCTGTCTGAGCCAGGGATGGGGAATCTGAGGCCTTGAGGCTGCATGTGGCCCTCTAGGTCCTCAAGTGTGGCCATTTGACTGAATCTAAACTTCAGAGAACAAATCTTTTACTAAGGACTCTCAGATTCTGAGCTTTGTCTGTAATTAGTTCTATTGTTGATGGACATTTCTGTCTTCACACAGGTGGTGATGATGGGCTTCTGAAAGGTTGGGACACCAGGAGCAACCTGGACAGCCCTTTATTTACCAGTAAGAGGTAAACTCCCACGGTGCCAGCTGGTCAGAGAATGAAGGCTTGTCTCGGGAACCCTTTTAATCAAACTTGCATTCAGGGTCATCCATTAATTTTACCTTCTTTACCTCCCTACCTCATTTTTCTTTACTGTATTCCATGGGTCTTCTTATATGGAGTTTGCCAAGAAATAGTCTTCTTGTTATCTGCATGCAGCTTGCTCATTCTTGCTTCCTGCTGTCTGATAGACTATCTCTTATTGCAGACATTCAATGGGTGTGTGCAGTATCCAGAGCAATCCCCACCAGGAGAATATTCTGGCCACAGGAAGGTGAGTCCTCCTTAAGTTAGTTTGTTTGGCTCTCTCCATTCCGTTTGAGTTTGTGGTGCTTTGTTATGCTCATCTAAGCCAGCTTCTGGCCCAGAACTGTACTGAATTTGAGATGCTTTCATTTAGAAGAGAGACCCTTTTCCATAATGGGGTTGAGAAAAATGATGGGAACTGTGCCTTGTCCTCTCTCTCTACAGGATGGTTTTTTTATCCCTCAGGTGTCTTTTGTGCTGCTGCTGGTGGTAATTTGAGTTTGGCTTTCTCTGACAATTTTCCTGTGATTCATTGGTTTCAGTTATGATGAGCACATTCTCTTATGGGACACCCGTAACATGAACCAGCCATTTGATGACATTTGTGTAAATGGAGGTGTGTGGAGACTCAAGTGGCACCCTGTGTACTCTCACCTACTTCTGGCTGCGTGTATGCACAGTGGCTTCAAGATCCTCAACTGCCACAAGCCTTTGGGTGAGTTGGATCAGGAAGCATGGCCAGGGGTCAGCTTTGGAGTATTCTATAGGTCACCAGAGACCAAAGCTCTTTCCCTGATGCTATTGATCATGAGAAGAGCTTTCTTATCCCAGGGCAGTTGTCCTTTCCAATCCCTTTGTTATGGTAATGATACCATCCAGTCAGCATTTCTTCATTTCTGTGGGACCGAAAGGAGTCTTCAGGCAGCTGTTGGCATACTCAGAATGTCTTTTGGTCCAGGCCACCAGCATCAGTGTTGCTGCAGGGTTGGCTGACATCCAGGGTATGTTCTTGTACTGGCCTTAGCCCATAAATTTGCTGTAAAGAGTTGGGTTCCAGTGTGTAGTTGCCCCTTTGCTGCACCGTTTTTGTTTAACTGCTATTTTTGGGTGCTGTAGTTGTTTCCTCTCTTGACTTCAGCCACCAAAATCCTAATGTAGTTGTAGCCCTTGCCTTTAGTGGAGCTTTTTCTGGATTGACCATCAGCCTTAACCTCTTAGTTTTAGACCAGTAAAGAAAAAAAATTCTAAGCATGCTTGAATAAGAGAGAAGGTAATTTTCTACGCTTGGCAGAGAAACCTTTAGTTTTTTTATTTGGCTTCTAATTCTCTTTGGCTTCCTAAAGCAGTAGTCAAGAAGGAATTCACTAACCATTGATAAATTTACTACCTTTACTACATTCCTTTTAACAGTCTATGACTATTTTACCTTTACTAGTTTCCTGTTATTTTCCTCATCAACTTTAACTACTTACCTCTAAACTATTAACTATGTTACTTCTGCCTATACTTGTAACTCATTTTCCTCAACGCTCTTGATTAGTCATTTTGGAGGAATCGATGGAAAAAGAACATTATTAGCTGGTGATAGCTGATAACCTTAATGAACACAGAAACATGAAAGTTGTGTTTTATTGCCTTATTTCTTCTATAGAGGAGAGGAAGGAGGGATCCTTTATCTCTGTGTCCTATGAGTCGCACAGTTCATTGGCATATGGAGCTGACTGGTCCAGGCTTTGTCTACACCCTGATAAACAAACTCAACAACAGGCTTTTTCAGCATCTGACGATAAGAATGACATGGGGACCTGGAAATCAGATATTCCTTGGAATACGGATACCGCATGTCCATTGTCTTCATCCTCTTTGGATACAATAGCCAAAAAAAAGAGTTCAGATGAGCTAGGCACAGTGAATGAGGGGATCGTAACAGAGACGCTGGACTTCTTGGTCCCACTGGTTACTAAGGAGGGTTCTGGTCATCTTACTGCAGGGTCAAAGGGAATGGCTCTTGAGGCTGAAGAACCTACTAAAACGAAGACTGTTGTGAATCTCTTAGCCACGTGTTCCTTTTATGATCACTCCCTTCACCTCTGGAAGTGGGAAGCAAGGTCAATTAAAGCATAACTTACTATGACCAATTTTCAGATTGGACTTAAAAAGGGCAGCCATTTCCACAAATGAATCTGAAATACTGGGTTCTTCATTGTGAGTGAATTGTACAAGGATTTTATTGTTCCTTGTGATATTTAACCCTGTTTAACTTTTTAAAATGAAGTTTCTCTGATTACATGTAGTACTCAGCCACTTCTTTGAATAGCCATGTATAGTTATGAGGAAGCTAGTGGCTTCTTTAAATGAAAATCTACTACTAGGCTTATTGCAAGCTGCTAAGGAGGTGGTTTCTTTCTTTGTAGTCCTTAAATTTGGTGTTCTTGCCATTCAGAGTTGGCTAAGCATTTCTGCTTTGAAGGGTATTTCATATGGATCTTAGCTTTTGAGTTCCTAAAATTGACCTTTTCTACCTCTGATGACTGTCAAATATCAATATAAATTCTTTGCTAAGCTACCTTCTTAGCAGAGGGCATGAAATGGAAATTGTATACCCTGGCACAATTGGTTGCTTATTCTGGCTAAGTGAGACTAAATGCCCAATTCTGGGGGAAAAGGAGTGTTCTAGGAATGTTATCTTTTACAAAGAAATCTTTTAAAATATAGCCTTAGTAGTGATGACTGAAATGTCTGTAGAAGATAAGATATGTCCATTCCAGTTACTTTTGTTCAAATTGTAAATTTCTTTTAAAATGAAATTATTTCCTCAGGAAAACACCTTAAAAACAAATAAAGTTTCGTAATTGCATCATTATAGATTTTGCCTGGCCTCCAGACTTGTTTACTGGTGTGGGTAAGTAGATCTGGCATTTTTGCCTGCTCTTTTACTTGGAGTCAGGGTTGAATGGGGGAGATGAGAACATTTTCCCATTTCTTTGGTTTGTCTTTGTATTCTCAGTAGAAGGGTGTCTTTGGTTAAATAGACAAGCCAGAGTCTATGGGTGCTATGACTAGGAGTTTATTAGTCCTTTTTAATCTGCAAGGCTAGTTTAAATTACACAAATGTAAGCATTTAATCCTATTGTAGACTTCATATTATACTTACTACAAAGCAGTAATTCTCAAAACAATTTGGGACTGGCTAAAAAATAGAGAAACTGATTAGTGGAACAAATTAGGAACACGGCATATAGAAGCAAATGAATCTAGTAGCCTAGTGTTTAATAAACACAAAGAACCCAGCTACTGGGATAAGGACTCAATATTTGATTAAAAAAAAAAAGCTGGGACAATTAAACATGCAGTATGGAAGAAATTAGATCAAGACAAACATCTTACAGCATACACCAAAATAAGTGCTATATGAATTCATGACCATAAAAGGTTATAGCATAAACAGAGAAACATGGAAAAAATTATCTGTCAGGTTTATGGATTGGCGAAAAGTTCATGACCAAACAAGGGACAGAGAGGATCACAGAAGAAAAAAATGGATGATTTTGACAGCAGAAAATTTAAAAGTTTTTGCACCAAAACCCCAGTAAAACTAAGATTAAAAGCAGGGAGAAAAACCTCTGAAGCAAGTTTCTCTGATAAAGATCTCATTTCTAAGATTCTCCTGCCTCATAGCCAGCCTCTTTAGGTGAGAAGATCTCAGACCACAGGTATGCTAGTGTACTAAACCTTCCATTACCTGCTCAACACAATGTGTCCCCTGAGGAAAGGCTGCTCGGGGCCCGGCTGGGCATCTTCCATCTACCCCAAAGCAACCACTTCTATCTGTGCCAGCACAAGTCATATTCTACCTCTTGCTGCCAACCCAGTCTCCCAATTGAGATATAGAAAACCTCCAGTGCAAAGGAGAACAACTCTCCCTTCAACTTCAGACTTCCCATCTCCTGCTATGCTTCTTTGAGGGTAGAGGAGTGGCATCCTCCAGTGAATGATGAAAATTCTCACACCTCGTCATACCTGTCTTTTACTGGTGGCTATGAAGTTCTGTAGATCATCATCAAACCCCCTCAACATCCCCTACCATCTGATTCTTCATACCCATTCTCTTCAACCCTTTCACCCCAAAGTTTCAACCTAACTCCATCTAGCCCTTTCACTGTGCCCTCTGGAATGCCTGTTCCATAGGCAACAGACTTTGCTTCATCTTAAACTATTCCTTTTCCACTTCTTCCATCTGTTAGCTCTTACTGGAACCTGGCTTTTCCTTGATGACACAGACTCCCTGGTTACTCTTTCTAGTACTATTCCTTAACTCATTCTCCTTGGCTCACTTGTTGAGGTGGGAAAGTTGGAATACTCTTTGCTCCCCATTGCCATTTCCAGATTCTCTTTCTTCTTCACTCAGTAACCTCTTTTCCTTTGATGTTCATGCTATTCATATCTACCATCCAATCAAAATCCTGGTGGCTATTGTTTACAGACACTCAGGTCACTCCCCTTCCTTCTTCAGTGAGTTTCAATACCTGGCTTAGAATTTTTTTTTTTCTCCCCAACTCCTGTCCTCATTATGGGACTTCAGCATACACACTGATTCTCCCTCCCTAACCACTCTGTTCTGCAACCTACTCTCTAATCATGAGTTAGTCCTCTGCCTCACCTCAGCCACACAAAGATAGTTATACCCTTGATCTTGCCATCACCCACAAAGGTATCACTTCCAAGTTCAAAATTCTGAAATCCCTTTATCTGACCATAATCTATTGGCTTTTCACCTCTCCCTCTGCCTTCTTTTATATAACCCTATTCGTCATCTTTACTATGACCTCCAATTCCTTGATCTCTCAGTTTTCTCCTATGCCATCTTCCCTCAGTAGCCACTCTCTCCTTATCTTGACTTTTTGGTAAACCAACTCCTTTCTATACTCTTGAATTCTACACTGTCTTGAATCCCTGCCCTCCTTCTCATATCGCCATTTATGCCCAGCCAAGCCTCAAGCCTTGAATCACTCTCACTGATGGGGTTGGGATCTGGTCCCCAGAAAGGAAAAACCCCGGACGAAAATTTCCCACATGGCCAAATCTGGCATTCCCCCGAGGCTATGATCCCATCAACTGGCCTTTCATTGTGGACCTCCCTATGGCACCAGGCCACTTCTCCATTCTCCCTTGGCCATATGGTCCTGGTCCCTGGAATTTTATTACCTCATAGACTACTTGGCCACTCCTAGATCCCTCCCACAGTCTTTCTGTATATAAGGTCCATCTTGTCTCCATTAAGATGCTCAGATTCTTATAATCTAGCCACAGCTTAGATTCCTGAAATCTAGCCACGGCTTAGATTTCTATAATCTAGCCACGGCTTAGATTTCTATAATCTAGCCACTGCTCAGATTCTTATAATCTGGCCAATAGCTTACTAATGTTTAGACTCCTTAAGAGTCTGTCCAATATGACAGATGTTCTAATAAACCTTGTCTTTAGCTGAAAGAAGACTTGGGTCAAATTCTTTCAGGCAGGACCCGCATGTTGTGATTTTGGGACCCAGGACCTCTGAACCCCTAAACCGCATCATCACCATTTGTCACCTTTGTGCCTATACCTGTGCTGCTGAACTAAGGTGGCACATCACACAGCCATTGTGGCTGGGTCCATTACAAATTTATGTTACATAATTTCAACTGGGCTCTCACTGCTGCTAGGCAATCCTACTGTACCTCTTTTGTGAGCTCTCTATTCCATTCTCCACAGTGGCTCTTCTGCACCTTTTCATCCCTCTTCAAATTTCCCATGACTCCCCTTTCCCCCACTCTCTTAGCTGAGACTTTTGCCTCATTTTACCAAAGGAAATTGAGGCCATTTACAGTGACTTCCCTCTTCTCCCCTCTTCTTCATCTCCTATCACTCAGATGCTTTCTACCACTATCTCATAACGAAGTGACCTTACTTCTTACCCCTCGACATGTTCAAGTGATCTCATTCCATCTTGTCCCCTCCAACAGACTGCTCCCTCTGTCACCTTCACTCACTTTCTTCCTCTACTGGAGCCTTTCCTAATGCCTACAACCATGCTCGTGTCTTTCTTATCTTGAAAAAAACCCTCACTTGGTTCTTCCATCTCTGCTATCTTCCTGTTTCTCTTCTGCCTTTTGTAGCTACACTCCTCAAAAAGGCAGTCTACAATTGTTGTTCTCTCCTCTCACTCTCTTCTTAACTCCTTCTTAACTTCGGACCTTATCATTCCACCAAAACTGCTATCTCCCAAGTTACTGATGATTTCGTAGTTACCAAATCCAGTGATCTTTTCTCAATTGTCATTCTTTTCTCTGCAGCCTATGACATTGTTATCACTCTCCTCCTTGATAATTTCTTCCCTCTGCGTTTTCAGGACACCATTCTCTCCTGGTTTTCCTTCTACCTATCTGACCACTCCTTCTGTCTCCTTTGCTGGATCCTCCTCCAGATCATGCCTTCTAACCATAGGTGTCCTTCAGGATTCTGTCCTGGGTCCTCTTCTCCTTCTATACTACCTTATCAGTTCCCATGGATTTAATTACCATCTCTATGCTGCTGATTTTTTTTTTTTTTGCTTTTTGGTGAGGCAGTCAGGGTTAAGTGACTTGCCCAGGGTCACACAGCTAGTAAATGTCAAGTGTCTGAGGTCAGATTTGAACTCAGGGACTCCTAACTCCAAGGCCAGAGTTCTGTCCACTGCCCCAGTTAGCTGCCCCGCTGATGATTCTTTTTTTTTTTTTAGGCAATTGGGGTTAAGTGACTTGCCCAGGGTCACACAGCTAGTACGTGTCAAGTGTTTGGTCTGAGGCCGGATTTGAACTCAGGTCCTCCTGACTTCAGTGCTGGTGCTCTATCCACTGTGCTACCTAGCTGCCCCAAAAGTTATTACAGTTGCAGATGACAGTAAATTGGTTTTTGTGGTTTTTTTTGTTTTGTTTTTTTTTTTTTGGTTAGGCAATGGGGTTAAGTGACTTGCCCAGGGTCACACTGCTAGTAAGTGTTACGTATCTGAGGCCGGATTTGAACTCAGGTCCTCCTGAATCCAGGGCTGGTGCTGTATCCACTGCACCACCTAGCTGCCGTGCTGATGATTCTTAAATCTACCTTTTCTGCTCCAATCTCTCTGCTCTCCTTTAGTCTTGCATCTTTCAGACATCTTGAATTGGATGTGCAGTAGACATCTTAAATTCAATATGTTCAAACAGAACTCATTATCTTTCCCCCAAGCCTCCCCCTGTCCCCCACTTTGTTACTGTAGGGCAACAACATCCTCCCAGTCTCTCAGGTTCAGAACCCTTCCCTCACCCCTATATCCAAACTGTTGCCAAGGCCTATCGATTTTGCCTTTGCAACATCTGAATATGCCACTTTTGCTCTTTTGACTTGCGCTAACTCTAGTATAGGCGCTCACGCCTAGACTAATGCCATAGGCTGCTAGTGGGTCTGCCTGTTTCTAATCTCTCCCCACTCCAATCCATCCTCCATTCAGCCACTAGTGATTTTCCTGAAGTGAATTACGAAAAACATATATCTCTGTCTTTCTCCCTCACTACCCCCCCCCACCTCCCTATAAACTTCAGTGGCTCCTTATAACCTCCAGGACTGAAAATAAAATCATCTGTTTGGTTTCAAAGCCCTTCATAACCTGGCCCTCTTCCACCTTTCTAGTCTTCTTACACCTTACCACCACCACCACATACTCTTCAATCCAGTGACACTGGGCTCCTTGCTGTTCCTTGCATAAGACACTCCATCTCCAGACTCCAGGTATTTTCTCTGGCTGTCCTCCATGCCTGGAATTCCCTTCTTCATTTTTTCCTCCTGGCTTCCCTGGCTTTCTTCAAATCCCAGCTAAAACCCCACCTTCTACAGGAAGCCTTTCCCAATCCTTCTTAATTCTAGTGCCCTCTCTCTGTTGATTATTTCCTATTTATCCTATATGTACCTTGTTTGTACATAGTTGTTTGCATGCTGTTTTGCAATTAGATTGTAAGCTACTTGAGGGCAGGAGCTCTTGCTTTTAAGTGTCCCAGTGCTTAGCATAGTGCCCGACATATAGTAGGTGCTTAATAAATGTTAGTTGACTTGCTGACTTTGTTCAGAGAAGAGACTACAAAATTTGGCCTAGAAGCTGGGAGACCAGAAGGCTGTAGATGACACTGGGACAGTATTTAAAATACTGAGTTCAGAAAATTTCTAATATTTGGAGCTGGATTATTGGGTCTCAGGCTGTTGCAATCCAGTGCTGGGCTTGTACATATTGTCTAATGGAACATCCATTAGCTGCCTCCCTTGCCTTGTCCTTCCTCTACATAATAGCTAATATTTATATAGCACTTTTAGGCTTGGAAAATGCTTGACTTTTACGATAACTGTGAAGTAGGAACTCCCTATTTTACAGATGAAGAAACTGAAGTGAAGTTGTAAACTTCACTTGAAGTTGTGACTTGTCTAGAAGCACACAGCTACCAAGTGTCTGAGGTAGGTTTCTTTTTTTTTTTTTTTTAAAGGCAGTTGGGGTTAAGTGACTTGCCCAGGGTAACACAGCTAGTATGTGTCAAGTGTTTGGTTTGAGGCCGAATATGAACTCAGGTCTTCTTGACTCCAGGGCCAGTGCTGTATCCACTGTGCCACCTAGCTGCCCCCTGAGGTAGGTTTTCCACACTCCAATTCTAGCACTCTATTGACTAAACCACCTAAAGGATATCATAGAATAATGTCTGGAGTTGTGGACTTGGAGTGAGGAGGATCAAAATTGGAGTCATGACGCAGACAATAATGATACACCCTGGACAAGGCACTTAGGAAAACCGAAATGGGGTCAATAATAATGAACACCTCACAGGGTTGTTGTGAAGTTCAAATGAGATAATATACGAAATCCACTTTGCAAACCTCAAAGCACTCTACAATTCTAGCCATTATTCCACGATATCCTTTAGGTGGTTCAGTCAATAGAGTGCTAGAATTATTTTAAGAGTACCATTAAGAATTACAGAATATCGGAGTAGCTCTTTTTAAGTATCTTGGACAAGTGGTCATCTACTCTAGCTTCTTCATGAATATTTCCAGTGAAAGAAATCTCATTGCCTGATAAAGTAGCCTGTTCCATTTTTGAGCAACTATTTGTTTGGTAGTTTATGGTGAGTTAAAATCTGCCTCCCTATAATTTACACCAGTCACTATAGAATGGATTGTAGAGCTGATTGATTTAGATATCTGTGGAAATTGGTTTAATGGTCACTGAGAAGAATTAGAGTAAAAACACTCTAAAAGAATGGTTGGGGAAACTTTTCTAATATGCTATTGCTTCTAGAGGAGCAGCAAATATTTCCCAGATGAAATTTCTAAGTAGAATCCAAAAGTGAGGCTGAGATGAAACTAAATGAATTTATGGAAGAAAGTAGCTATTATTCACCCCTCCCAAGAACCTGTAAAAATCAAGTTCCTGGTTTATTGACAGCTATTGGGATTTTGACAATACTCTTCCTTTTTTTAATTTGAATTTTTAAAAGCTCCACTTCTAGAAGGCAGCATTATAAATCATTGTGACTTTTTTTAGACAGATAAAGGTATAGAAGATAATTATTATCATTTCCTTAAAGTAGAAAGGTTCAAGTTCTGTCACTCTTGTCTCTAAACAGCAACGATGAGTTTTTGTTTAGGCAAATACTGTTCAGTCATTGCTGTACTTCATGGTGCTTTTCATCCAAAATGGGGCTTATCTTCTCCTTCCCTCCCTCCTCAAGCCCTCACCTCTTCCTAACTTCTCTGTTACTATAGAGGGCACCACCATCCTCCCATTCACCTAGGCTCTCAACTTCTCACTCTCTCACCTGCCCAATGGCATTAAATATTCTGTAATTCTTCTTAGTAGCACTCTTAAAATAATTCTAGCGCTGTTTACTGCACCATCTAAAGTACTTGGGTCACTCCGGTGCAGGTCCGCATTACCTCACACCAGAACTATTGTGATAACCTTCTGGTTGGTTTCACTGCCTCAAGTCTCTCCCAAATCGAGTCTACACTTCATGTAGCTATCATATTGATCTTCCTAAAGCATGGGTTTGACCATGTCACCAATCCCCTCCTCCTCCCTCAACTCAGTACACTCCAGTGGCCTCCTATTATTAGGTTCAGTATCAAATAGTAAACCCTCTATTTGGCTTTGAAAGCCCTTCATAACCTGGGTTATTCTTATATCTTATTTCCTTCTACATGCTCTATGATCCAGTGACATTGGCCTCCTTATTGTTCTTTTTGTTTTTTTTTTAGTGAGGCAGTTGGGGTTAAGTGACCTGCCCAGAGTAACACAGCTAGTAAGTGTTACGTGTCTGAAGCCGGATTTGAACCCAGGTCTTCCTGAATCCAGGGCCAGTGCTCTATCCACTGTGCCATCTAGCTGCCCCTATTTTTGTTTTTTTTCTTCCTCTTGTTTTTTAAACAGGACACTCTCTCCTGACTACATTTTCACTGGCTGTCCCCCATGCCTGGAATTCTCTCCCAGTTGCCTCCTGACTTTCTTCAAGTCCTAGCTAAGATCCAGTCTTCTACAAGAAGCTTTCCCAATCTCTCTTAATACTAGTGCCTTCCTTCTGATTATCTCCAACATATCCTGGATATGTCTATAGGTATGTAATCGTTTGCAGGTTTCCTCTCCCATTAGACTCTGAACTTCTTGAGACCAGGGATTCTTTTACCTTATTTTGTAGGGCAAAATGCCTGGCACATAGAAGATGCTTAATAAATACTTGTTGACTTGCTTTAGTTTCCATTTTAGATAGAAACCGAAATGCCTGGGTATATATTGTGCCTGTGATTCTAGCTGTGTGACAAGCAAATTATCTAACCTATTTGAGCCTCAGGCAACTTTCTTTTACTATCTAGTAAGTTATAAATGGGTTGTGGCATCTGAATTGGTAGTTCCCATACCCAGGAAATCATAGATCTTTGTCAATTGACATTCAGAGTGGTACCTCTGGAAAACACGGTAAGGCCCTAAACTATGAGAGACTTATTTTAGGTAGCCACGAATTAAGGTCTAGGGTCTTAAGACAGGTAAGCATCTTTCTATGAAGTGTTAAAATTAAAGAACTGCCTCTCTCCTAAAGCACGATAGGATATCCAGGTCTGTTTTGTAAGAAGTGTCACCTGGTTACATGATGAAATATTTTCTCTCACCAAATCTCCCACTACTAACCGTATGTATCCAACCACATAATGTTCTTATTCTTCCTTCATAAACTTTGCTATTTTCAAGTGGATTTAAAGGCTTAAGTTCTGCAAAACTTGTATACATTATAGGATCTCCCTACAATCCACAAATCCAAGAAGCAATTTCATCATCTCATCTGATTAAAAAATTCAGACTGGCTCGGAGGCAATTTTATTATTTTGGGGGATATGCTCTCTTGTTAACTGCTGATTTTCCGAAATATAATTTTCTTTCAATGTTTCTCAGCAAACAGAAACTCTGTATACATTAGCTTGGTGATCAGATGTGGCTTTATTAGCCTATTCTGACATATACCTTTAAGTATTACTATTTCTCTTTCCACTTCCAAGTTCTGTTTGGTTTCAACATCAGGGAATGCTCCCCCAGGATAAGCCAATACCTCCAATTTCATCATCATGAAGATTGGCTCAACTTTTGATACTCCACTTTCTGCCTCAGTTCCCTCTCCCCTCCAGTTGGAGAGCCAGAGGGTGGAAAGCTCCTCCAAAAGCCTTCCTTTATAGGGAGGGTAGAACTCCTAGGGAACTCTCTATTTCCCCCATTAGTTGTGTTTGGTTTTGACTCCATAATCTGACCCACTCTGGTCTTCCCTCCCTTGGGTAGTTTTCTCCCATTAGATTGTAAGCTCCTTAAGGGCAGAGATTTCCTTTTTCTGATTTTGTTTTGCCTAGCAGAGTAGGCACTTAATAAATGTTTATTGAATAATGCTGCTTATGTAGCCTGAATTAACAGGATAACCTGATACCACAAAATTAAAAATGGAATAAAACTTCTCTTTAATAAAGTTGGGATAAGAAAAATGCTGCCTCCTCTCATTCTTAAATTAGCTGTACAAGCCTTGTTCAAAGGCTGTTTGCAATACACAGGAGAATGAATGGTTACTGGCTGGACAATTCTTTATTCTTATTGCACATAGTTTTTAGGATATAGCTGGAACAGCTTGCCTTCTTGGGTGGGCTCAAAGCCATACTTTTCCAGGTTATTAGGGTCAAAAGTTCCTTCTTTAAAGTCCTTTTCAATCGAAGGTGCTACAGCTTCCATAAAGAGCTGCTTGGCTGTCAGTGGTTCATCTGTGCCAGCTGGAGCTTGGTAGGACACATATGGCTTGAGTTTGAAGCCTGTCAAATCTGGAACTACAAACTCAGGGACCATTTCCTTCACCTTCACAAATTTCCCACCTGAAGAAAAGCCAGTAAACTTGGCTCCTCGACCTTTGTAGAAGGTTCGGGGGCCACGCTTGCTTGTCCATTTGCTCATTCTGTCTGCCCCTCGGACCAAGCCTCGAGTCAGAGCTGAAAGGAGGCCCATATTTGTATCTGTGAGGTGAGAGAGAAAAATCGAGAGTTAAATTCATAACTTATTTAGCCTCCTGTCACCACACTGCATGGTGCCATCACTTGCATCACTAACTGTTCTTGGGCAGTTAGGCAGACTCATGCTGATTAAGCACATCCAGTGAATTCAATTCCCTCGGTGTTTGTCGAGTGCTTCATGCCCTTTCCTAGACGGCTACTGCCAGCTTCTGAGAGAGCAGCCCTGTTTGGACATAATAAGGGAGTACCAAGCACAGCGCTGATAAAGTCCGTTCACTCGACAAATATTTATTAAGTGTCTACCTACTACGTGCAGAGCCCTAGACCAGGGCAGGGTTTGTAGATCATACCCGGTACCTGCCTTTAAATAATTTACCTTAGTGCACTTAGCACAGTTCCTGCCACACTTATTGTGCCCAACTCCTCGTGATCCCATCTGCCCATTCTTTGGCAAAGATACCGGAGTGGTTCGCCATTTCCTCTCCAGCTAATTTTGCAGATGAGGAAAGTGAGGCAGACGGGGTTAAGTGACTTGCCTAGGGTCACACAGCTAATAAGTGTCTGACGCCGGATTTGAACTTAGGAAGATGAGTCTTCGTGACTCCAAGCCTGGCACTCTTATCTACTGCTGGCCCTTCGGCCTAGGGGGCACACACACCAGGAACTTAATAAATGCTGACTGATGAAGGCTAATAAAGACCCTACCAAAGCACAGGAATTACTGGATGGTCCCAGGAGGGCCGCCAGAGGCGGCAGGGGGAGCGTCGGCGAGCTCGTCGCATCCGCCCCTGCAGGTCAGCCAGAGGCCGAGAGCCTTCTAACCCCGAAGCTCCGCGCCCTGCCCCAGCCCCCCGGGGTTGTCCTTCGCTGTCCCGACCCCAGCCCAGAGGGCAGAGCCCCGCACCCTCAGCGCCCCGCACAGCCGCACTAGGTCACCTCGGCCGCTCACGCTCCAGCCGCCAGCACCTCGGACGTCGGAACAAAACTCGCTCCGATTGGTCGCAGGCGCCTCCACCAATGCGGGGCCTCGGCTGTCCGAGGGGGCGAGGCCCAGCAGAGAGAGCCGATGTCGTGGGAGGAAGAGAAATCCCGGCTCCGGAGCCGGAGCGGGAGCGGCTGAGGCGGGTTGATGGCAGCTGCCTCGCTGGCCGGTGAGTGGGGGCCCAAGCCGAGTGACCGCTGACGTCGTCCTTCGGCCACGCCCCTCGGGGAGACGAGGCCCAGAAGTGGTTGGGCACCTGTGTGAGCCGGAATCGGGAGCTCAGACCCACTGTCACTCAGGAAAGCCCTCCTCGCGTGACTTCCCCGTCGGTGTCCCTCCCAACTCCGCCCAGAGCCCCCTCCTCCCTCCCCGCTGACTCCCTGCTGTGCTCTCGCGTCCCCCCCAGTGACATCGCCCACTGCCCCTCCCCCAGAACTCCCCCACCGTCTGTCCCCCTTGTCACATTTCCTCCTGCATCTCCCCCAGTGACACTTTACACTCTTCCCTGAGTTCTCCTCGTGTTTCCCGATCTTTTTCACCAGTGACGTTCCAGCTGCCTTCCCCCCTCATTCCGTCTTATGTCTTGCCCCAGGGATATTCCCTACCAGCTCCACCCCGGACACTCTGCTGCTCCCAGGGACGTTTCCCACGGTTTCCCCCCTCTGCTCCCACACCCCGTGTCTTCGTTGTCCTTTTCCGAGACATTCTCCACTTTCTTCAACTTTGCCCAGCAACATTCCCCCCCCCCCCACCATGTCCCCCAGTGACACTGCCTACCCTGCCCAAGTTTCTCTACTCTGTAGTGCTCCTGGTGACGCTTCCCACAATCCATCTTCATAATAATCTCACCCCCTTCTTTCCCCTCATACAAATCCCCCACTGCTCCCCAACTGCCCTGCACCTACTTCTCCACCTAGTGATATTCTTCATTGCTCCCTCCCCCCGCTTCTCTTCATGTATCCCCTCCCCTCATAATTTCCCTCCACCCGAATTCTTTGACCTGCTCTCCTTCCCTCTGTATATTCCAGGAGTAATTTCACACTCAATCTTTTCCCTTTGTTAACTGACACTGGTGAGCTTGGCACATAGCCTGATATTCCAAGGCCAATCAATGGGGGTTTGGTGGGGGCTTCCCAAAGCGAAGGCAGTGGACAGACAGTGACTCCCAACTCTGGGGTGGAGAATAGTGTCAGAGTGGTGACTAAGCCCTGAATCTTTGGGTTTTAGCCCAGGTTAGATGACTTGCATATGTAGGTCAGCTAGTCCCGGTGTATGCCAAACCCGGTAAACAGTTCTCAGAAGAAGCAGTACATTCTCTGTGTTCCTCTTAAAATGCTCTTTCCCTTTCCATTCTCCTCCAGTTTCGCCTTCTCTTCCCCCAGCAGATCCTGGGAAATGCCCAGATAGAGTCTGGAGCATTTGAAATTGAGGTAGGACGCAGCTGTAGCTGTAGCAATGGCTGTAACAAGTTTCTGGAGAGAAAGGAAGCCCTTTTCTTCTTGGCTACTCCTTACAGTAGCTTGTCGCTGCTTGGCTGTCAGTAGTGGGAACTTTTGGCTGAAGAGCGTATTAGCCATGTGACTGTTGTTTACAGATTGAGACTTTGGAACAGCAGATGCTTCCGTGGGGACAGCTTCTTTTCATGGGAATGGAGCCTTCAAAGAGTAATTTGCCTGTCAACAGAAAACTTAGTTTGACTTAGAAATTGGACATGTAAACACAGCTAAAAATTGTTACTTTGCTGAGTTAAACATTAGTTATTTGAGTAGTTGATCTTTGGCAGAACCAGGCTGTACTTTATTCATTCCATTTTGTTTATTTTATTTTTAGCTATGGAGAAGGAATTGAATAAATCCTACACAAAGGTATGTATACTAGGAGAACTCAGCAATAATGGTGATGGTAATAATAATAATGATAATTTACCTTTGAATTATTAAAGGCATTTAAAGATTTATGAAGTGCTTTCTTTTCAACCACACAAAGTAGGTAGTGCAAGTATTTTTCTCATTTTAACGTGAGCCTCTGCTCACAAAGGGGAAGTGACAAGCCTAGGGTTGACAAGTCAGATCCTTAACATTTCTTTTCTCAGGTCATTTCTGGAAAGGACTTTTCTGTTAGGGTTTACTTTCTTAAAATCTTGTATTGGAATCTTGCTCTGTGTGTGTGTGTGTGTGTGTGTGTGTGTGTGTGTGTGTGTGTATTTGTGTGTCAGGAATATCTGTGTGTTGGCCTGTAATAGGTAGGGCAAAACTTGTTTTTACGCTTCATGTAGTATGTGCAACTAGGAACTTTCTGTGAAGTTCACTTTACCCTAAACCTTTACCCTTCAATGTGTGTGTAAATCACTTAACCTGTTTGGGTTTTAGTTTTCTCTTCTGTAAAGCAAGGGGATACTGATCTCTAATGTTCCTGTTAATTCTAAATCTAAGATTCCAGCATCTAACCTGTCCAGCAGTGAGGTAATAGGGGTTGGGGCATAGTCAGGATTGTTCATTAAATCAGAGACCTCTTGTGACAGTGAATACCTTCTTTGCAGCTGTATCAGATCTATCCTTGAGACTGTTGGGCCATCGTCGGCACCACAGACAGGGTGGAGGGAATTGCCTCATCTTGGAAGTTAAAGCCTGTGACCTCTCAGTCCTGACTCCTGCTTGGATTCCAAGCTTGGGTTTTAGACTCTTCCAGATTCATCTTGATTATAATGTTTTTTATGTTTTCTAGGGACTCTCCCTAGTGCTCTTAGGACACTAACACAAAATGACCATGTGACCCTGGGCAAGTCACTTAACCTCTTAATGCCCCAAGCAACTCTTTGAGACTATTAATTGCTGAGAAGGTGCTGACCTACATTGCTAGAACCTTCACCTAGGAGTTCCCTATTCCCAGTGAAGTCACAGATCTAGTTCCTGATCCTCTCCAGGGTGTTATGCCCTGCAATGCTCCTTGTTCTTCCCAAGTCTGTATGGCACTAAATCCTTCCCAGAATCTCTTTTTGGCTTTTTAATAGATGAGTCAGCTGTGAAAGTATTAGGGTGAAGGGAAACAGGTATTGTCTCTGGCAGCTAAAAGGAGCCCTGAATTTGTTCAACTGAGACTTGAAAGGACTAACAAGTTCCTACTTCATGTCATTCTCCACCCTATCACCTGCTGCCTTTTGTCTCTAACTTTTTTTTGGGGGGTAGGTAATAATAACAACAGCTAACATTTATGTAGTGTTTACTCTGTGCCAGACTTTGTGCTGAGTGCTTTACAATTATTATCTTGTTTATCTCAATTATTATCTCATTCCAACAACCCTGGGAGGTAGGTGCTGTTATTATCTCCTTTTTACAGTGGGTAAACTGAGGCAGCCAGCACTTGCCTTTAAATATTAAGACAGAGTTTAGAATAGGGTAAAGGAAGAGGAAGGAGCCCAGGCATTATGTGTATTGTGCATGCTTACCTGAGACCTGAAGATTTTTCATACTGTTTTACTTTTCTGGCTTCCTGGCCCCCTGATCCTTCTACTTCTGGAAACTCAGTATTACCTTCAATATTTTCTGATTAGCTTTGTGCCCAGCTATCACTATGTGCCTAGTAGTGTCTTTTTATACTTTCTAAAAAATCTAGGCCTCTGCCTTGTAACTTTAGCCTCATTTCCTGGATACCAGAGAGTAACAAATACCTATAGTACTTCTCTATTTCTAGCTATTTTTTGTTTGGCTCGTTAATTGGTATTTAATATTCTCAGAATCCAGATGGCTTACTCCAGTTTTCTGAAGAGTCCTACAAAAGGTGGCCATATCCCACCACTTGGTTTAAAATGTAATATGACTTGTATTTATGTACTGTTACATTTTCGGAATTCATTAATCAACTATCTTTATGGTTATCATAAATCACTTTATGATTCAGTGGATATATTATGACTTTTTAAGGGAGGAGCCAAGGCACAAAAAGGGCATAAGTGACAACCCAAAGTCATGTTGTAGGCCACGAATAAAGACCCATAGCTTCTGATTAACTAATATTCATTTCATTATGCTACTTAGTGATTGGGTGACTAGAGGTAGGAATTTAGAGCCGGGGCTTTGCTGTAGCGTTTGGGACCTTTTTCCTTTTTCCTGGTGACTTTTATTTTCTCTTGCATGAGGTCTCTAATTCTGACTCACCACTTTGGATGCCCCATTTGCTAGTCTTTGATATTGGAATTTACTTGTGGTTAGTCTCAAGAAAGAAATAATATGAATATGAGATTTTGTTTGCCTGTTTCCTGATCAACCAAATTATACTGTGAACCTGAAATCATTTGTCCCATTCCTACAACTTTTTCCTGCTCTAGCCCAGGTCTGGCTTCTGATTGTAAATAAGGTGTTCAAATTCTTCTGAATTTCCCTTTCCTCTACTTACTTTGTAGTCTAACAAGGCATTTTCCATTAGATGCTCATTGGAAGCCAAACCTAGACATGGATAGTTCATAGTGTCTGAAACCATAGATACTTTATATATCTAGATGGCACAAATATCTGTTCTCAATGGAAGGAAGACTGCTTAAATCCTGCCTGTATATGAGATGGGATTTTAGTAGTTTAAATCATTGAAATAGTTGGCATGAGGGAATAGTGTCCAATCCAGAAAACATTAGGTAAAAAAAAAAATCACTAGACAATAATTTAAATATTCTTGAAGCTAAGTACTTACTGTGTACACTGAGGGTGATAGAAATTGTGGATTTCCTCTTGGAACTTGTATTATAGTCAAGTAGAGGGGATAAGAAAGAAACACAAGTAAGTATAATATATAGTGTTACATGATAAATGCACTAGAGAGATACTATGTGAAGTCTGAGAACTATATGTGTGTTTAAATCATTCATGTCATTGACTTATGGAAACCTCATTCTCACTGGCTTCTAATGCTGCTCTCATTTCCTCCTGCCATCTGTTAAGCAAGAAGATTTCTGCTGGGGTATGTGATGGGAGGGCAGATGCCTTAGACTATTCTCTGACTCTTTTCTTCTCATATGTTGTGTTCTCTCCTTTAGGTCATGTCTTTGACTACTACCTCATACTCCTGGATTATGCAGTTAGTGGAATATTATAAGCACTCAACCATGGTAAACACTATGTTTGGATGGAGGGAACTTTCTTCTGGCTATGAGTTAAGACCATGAATTCTGTCTCTGGTCAGCTATTGATACCAGATACCTGTGTTTTGATACCTTCCTCTTCTTCTCGATGTTCATTGTTTTTCTTTCCTTCCCTATCAGCCTAAATTCAGGGAAAATTTGATGGGTCTAGGATTTCAGGGTGGTTGGGTTTTGCTGCCAGAAAAAGCTTAGGATGATCGTTAGCTTCTTATTGATAGTCCTGCTTTGTTTTTAACTTATACATCCAGATAAGAGGAATCATAATTGGCGCTACCTTAGCACTTCTTTTCATCGGCATTGTCATCTATTTTGTTTACAAGAAGATGAAGTGGTCTTGTAAGTATCCTGTGTTTGGGTTTGGTCCATAGAGGGTGGGGATAAGAGAGAAGGATGCCAGTTGTCTTTGTCCCATATACATGGCTTGGAGGCCCAGGTTGTCTGTAAGCTGGAATTTAGTGGCCTGTCCAAATCAAGGGTAAATGAATATATATCAGGAAAGCTTAGCCCATTTAGACCTTAACTGGAAAGAGAACCAGGGCAGAAATTTCTGACTTCCTGGGTGGAGGGGAAGAAAGAATATACTAAGACAGAGCCTTTTTCCTAAGATAAGGAAGAGTCTGATTTCTGGTTATGTACCTTATGATATGATATACTTTGACCTTAGGTTGGCCCTAATGGTTTCTTGCTCTCCATGTAATGACTTGTGGTGCTGATCTGTCTGGGTAATTTAGAGGAGGTTCACTAGTTATAATGACATACTTTTTTCTAAATGTTAAATAGTGCTAAGATGAAGAAGTAGAGCTTATGCTTATAGTTATCTGTATTCTCAGGGGCCTCAACAATGAGTAAAAAAAGAAAAAGAAGGTTCCTGATAGTCTGATTTTGAATCTAGCAGGGTATTTCATGTGTCAGATTCATTCTGTATACTGTACCCCACCTCCCTCTACTATTTCAGATTTCCTTCTCTTGCCTTTACTGGAAAGTGTTTTTAGAGACCCACTGAAAGCTATACTGTTTCCTTTTCTGCCTTTCAGCACATCGGCTTTCAGTGTCTCCTCAGTATAGGTTCCGTAAAAGAGACAAAATGATGTTTTATGGCAGAAAGATCATGAGGAAGGTAAGTGTGCAGCAGTAGAATAAAGTGATGAAGTGAATCTAATGGAGTTGTCTCTGAGCACTGGGGACTGCTTGGGATCCAGGAAATTTTTCTATGTTTGATTCAATCAATTTGCAAGCATTTATTAAATGCTTACTAGCTACAATGCTTCTCCTGATCTCAATTGGAGATAGAAACTTAGGTAGTTTTCTTGGCCAGGGAACACTCATAAGGCTTACATAAAATAAGATTCCTTTGATTGTCCCATATGTGAAAGGGGGAAACCCCTAAGGGGAGGCA